GGGCTGGCAGTAAGGCGATATGGGTCCGTTCTTATTGTACATCCATGGGTAAAGATAAACGCATGTAGTGCTGAACACGTAACATGAACGTGCCGGGCGGCGCGGTCCCGTGGGTTAGATGCGCGTTCATAATGCAGAGGGAAATAACTCTCAGAATAACGTTATTAGCACATTTTTACAACTTGAGGAACTAATGTTTTTAATAAGGGCTATACAAGTGTTCATACTGGGTAGTTTATTTAGTTTAAAAAAAATTATCCAACGATTTACAGACCACTCTTTCCCCATGTAAGTCAATGGGAAAAAGTGTTTCCGGGCCTGGCAACCAAAAGGAAGTGTAGTACCGCCGTTTGGCCAGCACGAATATTTTCATCTGAGTCCGGCGCACTTCCTGGGGGCTTGGTCTCACCAGAATGCGTGACTCCACCACGACTCTTTAACACCGCAGTGCGTGGTGGAGTCACGAACTTTGCTACATTTACGTGTCTGCACCACGCAAACAACCCCAATGTAAAGTGAATGAGGCTCCTTTGTCGTGGTGCACACACGCATTTCTACAACGTCCCGCAGTGAGCTTTTATTCTATAAAACGTTTTTAAAATCTACTTTATAGCTTGTAGTAACTCACGGGAGGCTTATTTTATTTTATTTGTATTCATAATAATTTTTATTTTTCGTCAGAATGTATTATTGTGCATTATTCACCAATTTTTGTTCTCAAAAAACAGTGCATTGTGTGTAATACAACTGTGATTTTTATTAAATTAGTTCGTTTTTAAGGAAGGCCAGAGCTTCAGCTGTGTCAAATAGATTGTTCCCTTTAGTTAACGTTATTTAAAAGATAATTATATTCCTATTTGATCAAGTCCCCTTTATTGTATTACGGACCCAAAGAGCAATGTGAGCGTCCATTCCCATTGGATAACGGAGGATTTTACACCCAGAAGTAAGTATTCTCCTTACTGTCGATTGATTTTACAGTGATATCTGCACTACTCATCAACTCAAAAACACCAGATTATCCTTGTTAATTACACAACATTGATTGGTTTACATTGTGTACAATGCTTTTGTATTTCCCCCTTTCGATTCGGAGAAACAAATATTTTTTCGGAGTGTGTGGATGGCAGAAGACACTACACTACCCAGAATCCTCAGCTATGGGACTACACCATGTGCTTAGAACGTGTCCTACCCCCCTCCCCCCCCCTTAGGTCACAGGCTCCTCCAACAGTGCAACACAATAAAACAGATACACAGAAAAAATAGTGCAAGTAAATACAAAAAGAAAAATAGTAAAATAGTAAAAAGTGAAATAGTGCAATAGGAGTCTATATACAAGTGATTGGAATATGATATATTAGATAAATAATTTCTAAGTAGCAGCCAGATGAATGTTATGGATGTTGTTTCAAAGTTCAGGTGTTTAATAGTCTTATGGCCTGTGGGATGAAGCTGTCCCTGAGTCTGGTGGTTTTAGTCCGGATGCTGCGGTACCGCCTGCCAGACGGCAGCAGACAGAACAGTTTGTGGCTGGGGTGATGGGGGTCTTTTATAATCCTGAAGGCTTTCTTTAAGGTTAACCTGGTATTTTTACTCCACTACATTTATTTTAGTTACTTTACAGATTTGGATTAATGATGTGAAATATAAACAACCCTTAAATCAGACTTTAGTTACACCTGAGTAAAATTCAGTGAAGGTGATTGTCAAGTGCCAACAATCAGGCGAGATATTTGGTAGTGGGTGCTTGAGAAGACAAAATATTTATCTGCAGATCCCTATAAGGTATATTCATTACTCGTTATTCTCTACTAATAGTTAATTAAAAACTGTATATAATATAAGTACTATTTTGCACATCCCTTTCAAGATTTCAAGATTTTCTAAGGTTTATTGACATATCATATACACAACTACGGTGTAGTTATGCAATGAATGAAAAACTTGGGTCACAGGTTCCTCAACAGTGCATTACAAGACATCTATCGATATCTGTGTACCTCCACCATTAAACATATTCTGCATATTTCTTATACTATCTACATACATCTTATAAGAGTATAATTCATATGTATAATATCAGTTAAAATAAGTGCTTCAACATAGTTAACATTGCAGGAAAGTTGATTGTCAAGTTCCAAAACAAACCATGCAATATATTAGACGTTAAGTACTTTATCAGGCTTAATATCTGTAGATACCCCCAAAGCTTTTTTCTTATTTAAAAGAAGACCTTAACCTAAAGTATTCTTTAATGTTTAAATAAAGCCTTATTAGTTTGTCTGTTTTGCACATCCCCCTATCAGGCACTAAACTGTTTAATTGTAGAGATCACTTACAGTATCTTCTTGATATTTTCTATTCTATATTATTTATATCATTGACCTTCCACTTTCCCACTATATTAAGAGTATGTACTCTTAATATTTAAATGTTTTCATCAAATATAACACATTCAAAAGTGCTTTACAAAAATGAAAGACATTAAGAAAAAGGCATTTTAAAACAGTCATTAAAAAGCAACACAATCTACCTGCATTGCAATTACTCTAAACGTGTAATAACGTGCTTTAACCAGTAGGAGGTGCGGGTTAAAAAGCTGTCAAGTTTACAGTGTTAACAAAATAAAATATACTGCTGTTTCCGGTTTAGTTTACGACGGATATATTCTGTTATTGTTTTGATATTTGTAACACAAAAGCGATGTAAAAAACCCACAGCAACACAGAAAAGATGGTCTTAACATGACCCAGCGGTCTAGTAGTTAATAAAAAACAATAATATCAAAACAAATTATTACTACTAACTTTATTGTGAAATTAAAACAGAACGGTAAAAGAATAGTTTCCAGTCTATTCTATCCCGATCTCTGTAGATAAATAAAGAACTACGACAGATGTGTAATGTTTAATGCAGCCAAACCATTCATTACAATGCATTCATGTGATGACTTTCAAAGAGTAAAGCAAGCACTGCTGAATAAAGTATGATTTGATCTTTTACGAAACGTTTTTTTCATATGGAATGCAGTTGGAGGTCAACCAATCACAGAGCTTGAGGCAAAGCGGAACAATAGCTGAGGATTCTGGGTAGTGTAGGGTCTTCGGCCATCCTAAACTCTGAACAAATATTTGTTTCTCCGAATCGAAGGGGAAAATTACAAAAGCATTGTACACAATTTAAACCAATCAATGTTGTGTAATTAACAAGGATAATCTGGTGTTTTTGAGTTGATGAGTAGTGCAGATATCACTGTAAAATCAATCGACAGTAAGGAGAATACTTACTTCCGGGCGTAAAATCCTCCGTTATCCAATGGGAATGGACGCTCACATTGCTCTCTGCGTCCGTAATACAATAAAGGGGACATGATCAAATATAATTATCTTTTAAATAACATTAACTAAAGGGAACAGTTTATTTGACACAGCTGAAGCTCTGGCCTTCCTTAAAAACTAACTCATTTAATAAAAATCACAGTTGTATTACACACAATGCACTGTTTTTTGAGAACAAAAATTCGTAACTAATGCACCATAATACATTCTGACGAAAAATAAAAATTATTATGAATACAAATAAAATAAAAGAAGCCTCCCGTGAGTTACTACAAGCTATAAAGTTGATTTTACAAACGTTTTATAGAATAAAAGCTCACTGCTGGACGTTGTAGAAATGCGTGTGTGCACCACGACAAAGGAGCCTCATTCACTTTACATTGGGGTTGTTTGCGTGGTGCAGACACGTAAATGTAGCAAAGTTCGTGACTCCACCACGCACTGCGGTGTTAAGGAGTCGTGGTGGAGTCACGCATTCTGGTGAGACCAGGTTGAGTGGACCATAGTGATGGGAATTATGGCTCTTTGAAGGGAGCCGGATCTTATGGCTCCGTTCCTTTCAAAGAGCCGTTCAAAAGAGCCGTTCAAAAGAGCCGTTTTTTTAAAAAGGGGGCGGGGTTACTAGGTTTATCTGCGAAATAATCACCAGGATAATGATTGACTGCATTGCCAGACCTAATGTCAATAATCTGCATTGTAAACATGACACAAGGTGGCGCCATATCCATGTCATTCATGTCAGTGAATGTACTTTGAATTTACCCTCTGCATGTGTTAAGTAAATAAAGTTGCCTTGCCTTGAATGAAATTCACGCAACTCTTAATATTAGTAGTGTGTTTTTAAGTGGCGATGGAGATTATTTGTTGACCCTGCTTTAAAGGATATTTTGCCTTTACAAATGGTGCGCTTTATCACTGCCTGGGTTTTGGTTGAAGTGCATCCAAATGCTGCTGCGTTTTCGCGTTTGGCTCATTTTACATCCGAAAAACACGTCGTCTATCTGTCCAGTACCACTTGTTATGACTTCTCTCTCTCGCGTATTCCGTTAAGACCCACCCCACCTAACTCCTCGTGCTGAAACCTACAAATCAGAGTAGGGGCGGGTCTTCACAGAATACGTTTGGGGAACAAAATCAAGCTTTTTAAAAGGCGAGTGAATTTTGGCAGGCAGTGAGTGCGGACCAACTTTGATTGAACGATAAGAAGAACGGCTCTCACCAAGTACGACTCGGTTCCCCTCGTTCGTACCAAAGAGCCGTTCAAAAGAATCGGCTCGTTCGCGACCGACACATCACTAGTGGACCAGTACCTTGAAGTGTCTTGAAGCGGTTTAGGGCAGCTGCTGGTATCCAGTGAAGGGAGAGAAGAAGCTGTGTAGTGTGGGAGAACTTAGGGAGGGTGAAGACCAGTTGGGCTGCTGGGTTCTGTCTGAGCAGGGCTAAGGGAGGCAACTCGTGTTGGGAGTGATGCTCAAGACCAGAAGGAGCACAACGTTGTTTGGATCCGCTGTTATCAAGCAGGCTACAAGCAGCAATACCTCTCACACACATATATCATTTTGTAATACATTCCACATACTCAGTTGGCAGTATCTTAGAGTTATTCAACAGCTCTTTAATAAATCCTGGAGTTGATATCAATGTCCTTTCTCTCTCCAGGACAGAAAATGACGATGCAATCGTACAACCTAATTATTCTGGCAGCGTGGCTCAATGCTGTGTTCTGGTCCTCCATGCCGGTGGTGGGGTGGGCTTCTTATGCCCCTGACCCCACTGGAGCCACATGCACCATCAACTGGAGGAACAATGATGCGTGAGTTTCACTACACTGCACAATGTATTGAGTACTTTACCCATGACATTCTTCTTTTAATACTACCAGGAGAATTACTCACCAACAATGACGACACAAATACTCCTGCTGCTACTGTGGGCTAGGGTTTGGGTTTAACGTTAGGGTTATGAAATGATTGCATCTCACCCATAACAATTGTGGGTCCTTAGCAAATCTGATGACCAAAAGGCAGTAAATTAATATACACAAAATAAACATATAACTAAACCTTTTAAGAGAAAAACGATATTTCATAATAAATCTGTTAAAACGGTTCCATCCAGACAAGGTTTACTTCTAAATATACATTTAACGGTTAGGCTGCTGAAATGTAAAGAATGTCTAAGCTTAAGCCCTTTGAATGATCATCTGATTAGGGGCCTCAGTCACACAACACCATGAACAGGCATACACTCTTCTGTTATAACAGGCACATATTTGTTTCAGAATTACTCTAGTATTATAGTGTGTGACTGTTTATTGCAGTAAAGTGAATTTTGTATTGTTTAAAATTCTAAAAGTCTATGTCACTTTAGCCAATGCAACAAGGCAAATAGTTGTTTAGAATAAAGTAAACAAATGTACATGTATAATATGGAATTTGGGGAAGGTTGACCCAAATGAGGCAAACACTGTTAATAAAAGATACAAATGTATAAGGTTTAATGCAGGCAAGGCAAAACAAAACAAAACAGACCAGAATGGAATGGAGCGTAACAGAAAGAAAAATGAGGGAATAAAGTGTAGGTGTACAGGAGGTCAGGTGGATGCAAGGCTATGATAGGCAACCAGCGTTGAAATAAGTACTCTTATGGCGCGTTTCCACTACACGGCCTCGCTCGGCCCCGCTCGGTATGGCTGGGCCTCGTTAGGACTGGCTCACTTTATGGCGCATTTCCATTACAGTTTAGGAACTGGGGTAGTATCTATAGTAACGCAGTGTAGGCGGAGCCGTGACGTGATCTTCAGAGAACCCCAGAAAAACAACACAGCCGTTAGCTGTTAGCACTCAGAGCTCACAGCTCCTCATATATGTTCAGAAACTAGACAAAAGTTAAACAAGTACAAACCACAGACTGCCTGTGTCATGGTGAATACAGTCGCTGCTTTATTTATGTCTGTATAGGCCGTTGTTGTGAGTGTGGACGGTCGGAGCATATACTGCGTTAGCTTAGCCAATCTCCATTTAGAACACACGCATTTTAAAAGGTTTTTCGCCTGCCGTCTGTCTGCAGACTTGACAAAGCATTAATTCATGGTTTTTACTAACCGGTATCAGTATGTTGTTACTTCGGCATCATTTTGAAACGTGTATTACAATTAAATCACGGTCAAATATGTCCATCTTGTTGTAGTTGTAGCCCCCTTGCCAGCGATGCTCTCTCTAGTTTAGCATACTCAGCCCGACTCAGCCTCGTTGTCTCTGGCCCTGGACCCACGATTTTATGAGGCCAGAAAAACTGTGAATTAGGACCCGCCGGCCGGTACTAGGCCAAGTGGAAACGCAACCAAAGACGGGCCGCTGACGTCACAGCCCTCTTAAACCGTGCTCCGCGCTGTAGTGGAAACGCGCCATTACTTAAAGGTAGGGTAGGTAAATTTGAGAAACCGGCTCGAGATACACTTTTTGTTATATTCCATGGAATGCTCTTAACATCCCAATAACAATGAATATCTTAAGTGCTTTGACAAAATATCCATAAAAGAATGTCATCTGTGGAAGCCGTAATACTGTAAAAAGCACGACCAATCATTTTAGCCGGCCCGGCTAAAATAACTGGATGGCCTACCTGCCTGTCAGCCTTCCATCTGTGCACAAACTTATCTCGTGCCCTCATTGGTCATGTGCGCGTTCGTGTGTGTTGGAGGAGGGGCTCTATAAGGAAGTGGCAGATTTTCTCCGGTTGTGTATTTTCAAATTCTAGCGATCTCGAGCCGGTTTCTCAAACTTACCTACCCTACCTTTAAAGTGGACCTATTATGCTATATTGGAAAAATATATTGTAGGGCCATACCTATACAAAACATATCTGTGGTGGCGTTTTAATCCTAGTCTACATTTAATAGCCACCTCTGTCGGGGTTGTGGGTTTTGACCAAGCGGCAAACTCTGGGGAAGAGCCGGGACGCCAATACGGAAGTGCCACAAACTGCAGTTCATATATTGGCCGATAGGCGCTGACTGCAGTAAGGAGCAATTTCCATAGACCCCCATGTTAAAATGCCCAATTTTACAGCCTAAAAAAACATGTTTCTACCCATGGATCCAATAAATATTATTATAGATATAGTTAGATTCCACCTTCATGATTATGAATCTGTGAGTGAATTGTTTTCTAACGCAACCCTTTTATTTATATTAGGTCTTAAAGTTTTTGCATAAATTAGGGCGTGGTCACATTGACTGACAGCTCTGTCAAGTGACTGCTGCTGTTAGCTTCTTGTCTCTCTGCTAGCTGCCTGCTCCCTGCTCCGTGAAGCTACGGGGACTCTCCATGCTCAGTTCATCCAGGGAACACAACTTGACCCCGGCTGTGTTTGTTTGTTCTTCATGCTTATATATCGGACTATTGTGACTCGCTCTGCGGTTAAAACAGATGGTGCATGAATGCCGTTTTGCGGTAAGTGAAATTTGAGTACTTTATTTATGTGTTTATGATTTTAATCAGCTACATAATGAATGTGTTAGCGTGTAAGCGTGTGGTAGCTACATCGGTGCTAACGATGCTAATCGTAGCCTCCAAGTTAAAACCATAGACCGTATATATAAAGGTTAAAACGAAATAGACAAGTGTTAAGCGTTAAGTGGGATAATACTGTAGAACAAACGGCTTCTGTTTGAGGTTGATAAAATAAGGTCATCCTTGTAACTGTAGAGAGATATGTTATTATGTAGGGAACTTTATGCATCGCTAAGGTTAATTTAAATTGGCTATGCTCGAGTATGTAGACAAGCTAACGTCGAAGTAGTGTATGTGAAATCAACCTCACAATAAGATGTGTGTATATTACAATTATTAATGTCATATTTCAAGATGATTACTTCGATATTACAATATGGTTGGTTGAGCTGGAGTTCATTATTGAGCTTACACGTTAACATCACAGTCATCTGAAGAACGAACCCAAACCTTGTTGTTTTTATTAATTGCATTACCAAATTGGTATAAAATAAATAGTAAGCATTGGTAACACAACTTCCAAAGTTACAGTAAAATAAAAAGGACCCTGACTCGGGCAATACACAATCCAACATGTTCAACAGAAGAGAATAAGTTATATTGTTTGTACACATGGTACTTTACATATATATCTGTTTGTTTAAAATGTCCAGGTGATGCAGACAGGCTGGACCAGAGAGTGAGAGACAGAACTGGACTCCTCACAGCAGTGAACTTCAGCACAGGTACAAATACTCTTTTTTCATACTGTACAAAGAATCAAGAAAGATATTGGTTTAAATAAATGAAGTATTGACTTTAATACACTGATATACATTCCATTAAACAATACTAAATACTAGATCACCTACACATCAGTTAAGTTGAGGGTTTTTTCCATGCAAAAGGTTACATTTAGATGTTAACAAGCAATATGACTTGTCAGCTTTCTAATTTAATGTATTGAAAGCAAAGCTATTTAACACATAGTGAGAACTGCTATTTATCTCTCAATATTGTCTGTAAAAACGTGGTAAAAGTTATTCTTTCAGTGAGACAACAGAGCAAGCTTCTACAGTTGCACTACGTTTTGATAACAGTTCAATATTATTTTGATAATAAAATATATTTCAATGTTGATGCATTTCATACTGTTCATTCATAATCTGATTGTCTTTGTAGCTCACTGTTGAAATAAAAAAAAAACATACAAAACATATAAAAATAATTATATCTACAGGCCCTAAACACACAAACACACCTCTTTCATAAATGACACAATAATAATATGTTTTATGTTTCCTGTAATTTTTGTTAGGAAAGGACATGCCTGAAAGACATGACTCAACATTTTCTCCTTCTCTGAGGGTCAAGAAGAACATCAAGAGGAAAATTAAAAGCTGATGTTATGAGATTTTAAGACCAGAGGCCTGTACTACGAAGCCGGATTTTCCTAACCTGGATATGTTTGAGTTAGCCGGTTGGCCAAATCCAAAACATACTCGCTCTGGCTAAACTGTACTACGACGCTGGTTATCAAGTGGATCGCTCAAGCCAGCCGTGTCCTATCTAGTTAGGTGCGCGTTCACATGAAAGGGGTGGTATTTGGAGCATTCGACCAATCTCAAACACGGACAAGCGTACTGACAGCGCAGCGTCATACTTCTGAATGAAAAGTGAACTTTAATATTAGTCAAATATGAAGAAGTTAAACTTTAAACATCCATGACTTAAACACTTTATCCAGGATAAAAGCCACATAGCTGCACCTGCAAGGTGAATACAGCTGGTAAAAGAAAAAGCGTTTGAATGCGTACATTAACAGGTTTATGAAATCACTGCCCCGTCCAAGACACGAGTGGATCTGACTTTAATTAGGAGAATTTGACTCGAGTGTTTCGTCAACTTAATGTGTTGCTTAAAATAATACTTCTGCATACAGTATGTGACACTGTGAGTGTTGCACGGCCAGATATGGCTCAAGAAGCTGACTCAAATAAGGAAATATATGATACATTATGATGTGATGTGATATGAATGATAATGGGACACATCGACGTCTGCACTCACAGTGTTACTCTGATCCGGTTACTTATGTTGTGGCAGATATTTAAGTAAGCTTTCTTAACGCTAATGTTATAATAGTCAGATTGCTCTGAAGATGGGAGGGGATATTCTATTCATTTTCACGTTCACACAGTCAGTTGATTTTTGCCGGCCGTCTTTCCTGCAACGGCAGTTTTTCTGTATTTCCTCTATCCTGTAATATGACTTGATCGCTTTAAACTCCGCACACGGAGCTCTGATTGGTCAGCAGGCG